TCTCTCTCTCTCTCTATATATATATATATATATATATATATATATATATATATATATATATATATATATATATATATATATATATATATATATATATATATATATATATATATATATATATATATATATATATATATATATATATATATATATATATATATATATAGCAAATTTATTAGCCCTCCAGTGCAATATTACTTATTTTTATAATATTTCTCAGATGATATTAAATGGATTAATGAGTTTTTTTGCAGTATTTCCTGCAGTATTTTTTCTTCCGGAGAAAGACTTGTTTTTATTTTGGCTAGAATAAATATAAATATAGAATAATAATAAATATTATTAGCCCCCTTAAACAATATTATTCTTTGATTGTATACAGAACAAACCACTGTAATACAATGACTTTCCTAATTACCCTAACCTGCCTAAATAACCTAGTGAAGCCTTTAAATGTCATTTTAAGATATCTTGTGATCATGGCAAAGATAAAATAAATAATTTATTAGAAATGGGATATTAAAATTATTATGTTTAGAAATGTGTTGAAAAAAATCTGCTCTCTGTTAAACAGAAATTGGGGAAAAATATGAAGTATTTAAAACTGAACAGGAGTCTAATTATTCTGACTTTAACTGTATTTAAAGTTAGCTTTGTAACTGATGCAGGACCCAAAATGTCTTCGACCCACACAAACACACTCACACACTAACACATACACAATTTTAACAATTAATTATTTTTTTTAAACATAATGAATATACAATTGTTAAAAGTGGTGTTGTCGAAGGCAAGACAAATCCCTCTTGTGTAATTAAATTATTTTTCAATTTTTTTCCAGAGTGCTTTTTAACGGAGATTTCCCCCCCACACATTTTGAAACATAGAAGTTTTAATAACTAATTTCTAATAAGTAATCCATTTTGTCTTTGCCATGGTGACAGCACATAATATTTTACTAGTAATTTTGCAAGATACTAGAATTGTAACTATGGAGACACTGGGAGCGGACTTACAGATCCAAATGCAGGTTTAAATAAGAAGGTCAGTTAAGCAATGGTCAATACAGGGGCGAACAGGTGTATGAAGGCAATCCAGAGCCGTAGTCAGTAACACAGGCAGATGATCAAAAGATAGGTGGCAGACAAGGATGAAGAAACTACAAAGCGAGGAAACGTGGAAAGACAAACCAGGAAACCGCTTTGTAATGTTCGAGGATAAAACAAGACTCGGCCCTGAATGAATGAAGGACCATTAGGTGCATATATACATATATATATATATACATACATATACATATATATACAAATATATATATATACATTTATACAACAGTTCTGTCTGGTTCTCGAATCTGATTGGCTGATTGCCATGATATATTTAAGTAATATCAGCACCTGTACAGCCTCTTTACCCTTTGTGTATTACTCCGCCCACATACAGCCAGCAAAAAGCAGACACTACAGATCTAAAGTTTAAAAGATGCTTGCTCAGCTCTTTAACTGTCAGCTTATCATTTGAATCCAACGCGGAAGAAAGTAGTTCCTTATACAAAAGGGTTTTTGAGACTCTCCATGTTTGATATTGTTTTTATATACATAATTATGCCGTCAAACTGTTGTATAAACGCAATATCACACAAGTAGCAGTGCGATATGGCTTTATATCGGCACAAGTGGGGGCACTAAGGCACTCGGCCAGCAGCCTCGTGCCAACGCACGCCTCCCACCAGTGCCATTATATAAAATATAATTTTATATATATATATATATATATATATATATATATATAGTCCTTGTAATCAGTGTAAATGAGCAGCGGCTGTGTTTGTGTACAAGTGTCCAGAGTATTGTCAGCTGTCAGCTGTTATCAGTGTTGCAGGGGTTTCTGGGAGTTGGAGTTTGCTTAGCGGTAGTCTCCCATATAGGAAACTCCGCTGGCAATCGGTAAAAACTACAGAAAGTAATCGCCAGCAGAGACAACTCCACTGGCAATCACAACAAGTATTCAGCTAAAAGTGACATTTAAAGGTTTAAATAATTAGGCATTGCTCAACAGTGGTTTGTTCTGTAGCCAATTGGGGAACAATTCTTTAGAAGTTTTAATAATATTGACCTGAGCAGTTTTTTTACATAGAAAAAACATGTATTACAGCCAAACTATAAGTTTCTCCTGAAGAAAAAAATTAATAGGACATACTAAGGATAATAGGAAATGTCTTTGCTTTGTCAAAAAACACTTAAAATATCTGAAAGAGAATCCAAATTTTACACGAGGGCTAATCATTTGTATGAATTTATAACTGTATGTACAGTTATAAACACATCACCATTTTGCTCAGAAAACATATTTCTAAAGGTGCTGTTGACTTGAATTGTATGTTATTAACAACCAAAGAAATCCATATATGCAAAGAAAACAAATCTAATTAGACATGAAGTTATGTAAAAAAACGAAATGACACATGAAAAAAGGTATTGAACACATGAAAAAAGGGAGGTGTGTAAATGCAGTGAAAGCTCAGACAGCAGCTGAAATCTCTCAGTAGTTCTTTAACAACCTTCTGCCCTTCCTTAGTGTAAATGAATATCAGCTGCTTCAGTCCAACATCTACATTAGCAGGAGGATGAAGATGAAACCAGGGTGGACATTTCAGCAAGACACAGATCCAAAACACAGCCAAGCAAACTCTCAAATGATTTCAGAGAAAGGAAATCAAGCTGTAGAATGGCCCAGCCAATCACCTGACCCGAATGCAATGGAGAATACAAAATAAAGCTCAGATTTAATAGAAGAGACACACAGAACTTTTACGATTTTGACACTCTGCTGAAGTCTATGAAAAAACTCACACCTGAGCAATGCATGTGACTTCATTCTCCATATGAGAGGCGTCTTTAAGCTGCCATCACCAGATAAAGCCATTTATATAATGTATTAAATACATTTAAGTAGTGCAGCACTTTTTCCTTGTGTCATTCCATTGTTATTACACATAACTCATGTTTCAGATTGTTTTTGTTTTATTATTATGTCTGTATTGTTTGTGTTTTTGTTATCCAAATCTGGATCAATTCCATGTCAACAGCTCTTTTAGAAAGATTATTCCCAGGAAAAAAAAAACATGATGTGTTTAGTACTTCAATACATTTTACTGCTGTATGTATAAACATGTTTGAATCGCAAACGCTGCACTCCAGTGGTGTTATTTAGCTTAATCCCTCACAGTAAAGTATGAGCAATAGTAATGGTGATTGCTGCTTTAGTAAACATCAGTAATGACTAGTTCCTCCAGCCGCAGGTCTGGGCAGCTCTTGTGGTGTCCGAGACTTGTGTTTAGATGTTCTGCATGTGTGAGTGTGTGAGAGTTTTGATTCACAGCGAGTCTCAAACAGGTGTGTTTAGTAACTCATTATAACTATAATTATTCATTAAACAGTGCAGCTATTGTAGGCTCAGGACACAGCCGGGATTGTTATTGACCAGCTTGGGCTGGATTTGAACCTACAACCTACTTTTTTGACAGTCAGTGTGTTGTTAGGAGTTTTGAAATGAAAGATATGCTTGCTTTTCATTGGGGCTGAAAAAATATGAGATATTGTTGTTGAGTTTTGCGACAAACGCTACTTTTATTAGCTATGTTTTGAAATCATTTATTTAGTTAATGATATTTAAATAAAAAGACAA